ATTCTAACTTACGAATAATATTGATCGCTAATATTACATAATTTAGTTGTTCATTTATTACTTTATTTTTTGTATCTCATCAAAACATATTTGTGTAATTGCAGTTCTATGAGTTTCAATCATTGTTCGACGTGTCTTAAATTAGCATTAAATAAAACCTAAAATAAAAAAAAATCAGACAAATAAAAAAGTAGGCAAATGCATGACTGAAAAGTTTCTGTTATCAACTGATTGCCGTTTCTTCATATTCTGACTATTTTGTTTCATCTAATGTTTGTACCATTGTAGTTCTTATATCTATTGAATGATTTGCTTGATAAACAACTCAATCAATATTATTATCATCAAAATTCGACATGGTTGTGTCGAAACGAAAACAAAAATTAAAATAAGATGCTTTAAAGTTCAACAGATTTATTCAGCAATGAAAGCACGAACTTTTAGTCTTGTACTAGGTTTTATCTGAAAAAAATCATTTATAAATGAAACCAGATAGTAAAATAGAATTAATTGTTATTAATAGAACTAAATCAAAAGGATTCTCATCTGTTGTTGATATTAAACGTAACAAAAAAAAAGAATTATTTATTGAATATTAAAAAAAAAGTAAAATCTTAGTTCTTCTAGTGACATCATCTTTTCATGAAGCTATTCAAAATGATTACTTAAGAGATAAATATCCATTTATTTATCTTATTAGAACTTATAAATTACAGTATATTGCATTAGCGAGTATCGTTACAATTGGCGAAGTATATTGAATAAAATTTAGCATTTATCATTTTATTTATTTGAAGATTGTGGCTTATCACCACATGATTCATTTCGAATAGCTACAGAAATAACAACATGGTAGTTCATATTGTTTTTGACGTCTATCCAATAATCTCGGTATATTTCTTGACTAAGCAGCTCATCATCAATGTAGTATGGATATTGCTCATAGTGGTATTCCAACACATTTTGTTCCATTTAATGGAGTATTGTTAAGGTTTCCATGTTTATATCATTTTTATATTTAACTGGAAGACACTAAACAAAAATTTTTAAAGTTTTCAAAAATTAATTACAGTTCAGTAAAATAAGTTTGGGTAAAAATAGTGAACTAGTAGGCTTTTAATCCTTTTGAACAACTGGAACCGTGTCCATCTCTGGTATAGAGAAAAAAACTATTCTCTCTGTATGTTTCGTCTGTTTTTTTTATGGACAGAATAAAAAGAGAAGCCTTAATATTAAATTTGTCACAGACGATTAGTTTTCTCACGCCGCAGGTAAAGAGAAAAAAAAATTCTTCTTCTCTACAGAGTTGTCTGTATTTTTTCACAGACAGAACTAATAAGCGGAGCCCATAGATTAGATGTTCCAAGGCAACTAGCTTTATCTTCCTCTAGGTATAGAATAGAAGTGGCACCTTATCCGTATTATATTTTAAAAAAGTAAAGTAATGTATTAAGGCTGAGTTTAGTATTGATTCATAGGCTGATTATCATGCATTGATAACGTTCTAATATATGAAAGTTCATTCAGAATCTTCTCTTTAGTAATAAGTGAAAACTAATTTATCTGAATAAAATTTTGATGCGTTTGTAAAATACAAATAATCAAGTTAACTTGTGCTGTTGCTACTTATTTCAGAATCTCTTATCATAAGGTAGTGTACTACGATTGCAAATGATTAGATTTTCTATCAGTTATTCATCAATTACACTGTCTAACCACGTATAGGGATGAGAAATTTCTGTCACGAGACAATTATTTACTAATAAAGTAACAATGGCATCGTAGATATGACTTTTTCACTGAAGAAAGGGTTTTTGTGAAGGTAACGAATTGGATACAGTTTGATCAAAAAGTTTCGACATCGAGGAATTCGTATCTGTGATCATTTTAACGAAAATGTGTACTTTATTTTTCCACTGAACAGAAACTTATTTGTCAAATTAGCGATTTTTTCTAAAGTTTGATGACAGATCTCCGGAATAGAGGTAATTTAAACGAGAAATCAATTACGCAATTCTGAGAAACTGATCAGAGATTCAGATTTCTTGATGTAAAAGATTTTCGATCAAGCTTTAATAAAATTGGTTACTTTCCCAAAAAAGCCGTTTCTTTAGTGGAAAAAACAAATCTACGATTTATCGATGAGATCTATAGGTAGATATCAATTGAAATCTGCACTTCCTTGTTTTGTTGTAATTGGGTATCCATACACCCGCTATTTGCGGCTCCGATGCTAGTTCAGATTCCGCTGTTTTGTGGCAATGAATTCTCAGTTCATAAATCTTTTACAATTTCAATCTGGTTCCATGGAGTTCCAAGCGAAACTATTATCCATTTCAAAATAAAACAAGAAGCATTCGAAAGTTGTTCTTCACAATGACCAGATTTTAGATCTTTTACCGAAAATGTTCTATAATCTTCTATGTTTACTCTATTGGTACCTTATGCAAATGTATCCTATAGTTTTGCCGTTCTCTTCACTTCTATTTCTATCAAATAATTTAGCACAGATCATTTTGTGAAATGTGATTGGAAATAAATGTTGAATCATATGATGAGAAAAGTGAGGCACTCTTCTGATCTGCTCCGCACACTAAAAAGACATTTAGATCCATCAGTTGACCTCAGGGTCGAGAATAATATGATCGATGTGAGCAGAACTTTCGTTTACAATTTGAACAAACTCATTGTGTTTCACATTTGAATTCTGTAGAGATTTTGATGAAAGCATTTCTATACACACTTGTAGACGTCGAATGTTCGAAATACTAAACTATTTATCTTTTTCAATAGGTAAGTCGATCCTATCCAATACTCATACAAAACTTGAATCAAATTATGACAATAAGGGGACAAACAAGAGTACTACTGAGTGTCAATGAAAATATGTGGCTAAATCTATCTTTATCTCAAATAATTATCATTGTAGTAGTAAATCGGAGTTCAGTATTTGTCAGTTGGCTTGTACTATGAATTGCTTTTCGTCCATCAACATCTGAAGAAATTGAACGAAAAAAAGAACTCAGAAAGAAAATATCGGCATTAAAAGATAAGTACAATAATCGGACACCGTTGATAGGTCAAAAGTCATCCACTATTGAATATTTGCCAGATGATGTGGTTGGTGATTATTCGAAACTGTGGAGACAAACTGTAGATTTGTTCATTCTTGTGATCACTATATTGTATAGTATTGCTGCAGTGATCTCGATCATAGTTATTCATAGAAAGGCCTTTATTACTCTATTGTTCTTGATTACTCAATTAACAATAGCATTGATAGTTTTATCAGTTATGTTCATTTGTGAATTAATAGCTCACTACTTTTGCAATTGTGATGAACAAGGTTACATAATTACTAATAGCTCGTCTCCTTTTAAAGTGAATTATACGCGCAAGATTTCTTACGTCACTGTTGTTTGTGCAGTATCGTATATCCATCTAGGAAGCACTGATGTTCCAGAAGTGATCTATACCATTTGGAACTTCGAGATGTTTTTCTTATCCACGATGATTCTTATAAACACATTGAGAAAACGCTTTCGATTTTTTATGATCCTTTTCAATACAATTGATCGACCAGAAGATCGATCCTCATACACTCTTATAGTGTTGTTTAGGAAATACTCTCTCTGCTGCAATAGCAAACACAACTTTTCAGTGAATATTTGCAGCTACAAAACAAGCTGATATGACTATTATGACTCTTTTGATTCTTGGTTTTGGAGATGGTTTAGCAGAACCAATCGGAATTTACCTAGGCAAGCACATTTACTGAGTCAAAGCATGGTGCACCGTGGGAAATCGTTGATATCAACGCTCACTGGAAGGAAGATCTTGTGTTTGGATTACATCGATTGTTATTATCTCGGTATTTTTCTATTTGTTTCAAGATCAAACTCAATTTTGGACAACTATTATTATCTTACCACCATTGATGACATTTACTGAAGCACCGTCGCCACATACTTTGGACAATTGTATTTTACTTGTTGTAGGCGATGTAACGCTTCTTATAATCGAAAACTTACAGCTTGCCTGAAAATCATAGTAAAAAAACTTTCAAAGTAGTCTCTGAAGGATTAAAATGTAAAAACCGATGGATCTGTTTCAGTCTGCTAACGATATTCCTACCCATATTGTTCGTATCATCTTAGAATGTGGATCTGTGAAGAAAGAAACACACCAAAACTCACATCCACACGCACACCCTTTTCTTCTTGTTTTAACTTTTTCATCAGAATCAATTTGAATATAACTTCATAAAAATCCGTGGATCAAATCATTTTACTTTTAAAACGAAGCTCTACTCCTTTGTATTGATTTACAGATTACTAACAGTGTCTTACTCATTAAAATTTTAGATTTTGTTCCTATGTCGTGTGCTCATTTTTTTCAAGCACTTCAATGTACTTCTCGAACGACGAAACCTTCCTAAATAGCCATTTTCGATTTCAATAATTTGCTGCCTCTAGATATTGTGCAGTATTCTAGTAAAAATACTAAAAGCATATGCGTTTTTACTGAAACCTAGTGTAGCAATTGAATTTTTGAGATATCTATTTATCGACACTTCTGTGGAATCCAAGTTTTGGGAAAAAAATTGTCTTTGAAACCTATCTTGAAATTAACTCTATTTAAGCTTGTATGGAGAGTTTTAGAATCCAATGATTGCGATATCTCCGAGCTATGAACTTAATAAAACTAGATGATTTTCAATACATAATGAACAATACAAGAATATTTTGAATATTTCATAGCTCAGAAATATATACATATAGGAACCAAAGTATCTTTAGAATTTCCACTAGAATACTATGCTATAGTCATATAGACAAATCAAATATAGAAATTGGAAAGATGCATCTAGAGATGTTCCCTGATGAGTTGAAGACTTCATTTATATGTTCTTGTTTGAATCTCATTGAACTTATATTTTTTTTTTCAATTAGAGTGTACTATTAAATATTAAAATAAGTTTTTCATCTTCTGACAATTACTTAATCATTTTCTGTGGTGGATAATGAATCTTCACTATCAGTACTTGTTGTTGTTGTTTGGATTAGAGTCTGATCAGAATCCTTATTATTAACAATAATATTAGATGATTTCATTGTATTAAATCTTCCAGGCGAATATGTGTTTGTTGGACAAGGTATAACAAGTACCGGTGGTCGAATATCACGTGAAATATATTTTGCTAATTTATTTTTCATATTTATATCATAAGAATTAATTTTTTGTTGTAATTTTCTTAAATGTTTTTCGATAATATGTGTATTATCATCGAGTATTTTTTGAATATTTGTCGACATACAACATAACTAAGAAAGTAAACTGATGAATATGAGAAGAAAATTCGATTTATGATTTTGTTTTTTCTACCTGCTTTTGAATATGTTTTAAAATAGGTAATAAACGAAATGTAATATTAAGAGAATGTTGATTTAATTGAATATCATTATATAATTCAAAATCATCAATAATTGTTCGTATATATTGAATCATTTTATTGATATTTTTATCTAAAATATTCATTTGTAATTGTTCTAAATGACTTTTAACATCATTATTAAATCGATATGATTCTTTTTCATAATTAATTAATACATTTTCATCGTCCTTATCAATTCCTCTTGAAATATTATTTCGTCGTTGTTGTGCAATACTTCTTATATGAATTTTTAAACAATATTGTAATTCATGTGCTGTTTGTGAAAATTCATTTAAACTTGCTGGTAAAAGAAAATCTTGTTTATTTAATTTAATAGTTAATATATTTGTATTTGATCCATTGGAATTTTCATCGATTATTGTGATTAATTTAGTATAATCAACTATAAATTCATAAATATCAAGAAAAATTTTATGAATAGAATGATATTCATTCATTTCTTCAAATAATAGACACAAAAAAATTACTATAGAAACAACTTTTCTGAATCATTTTTTTAAACTATTCTACAAAAGACATCTGTTTCATCAAGTACCATTAGTAAAATATGTGACTCTATTATTTATCATATATAAATATCTATACATACGTCCGAAAACAAAATTTTTCAATCATGCATTTATCATTGCCTCTTTTTACAGGTTTACTATTAATATTCATTACAACACTATCCACTCCTGATATAATACCAACAATCGATACACCTATCATTACTTGTATTAAACAAGCGCATTGTCCAACAACTACACACTTTTGTAATATTAGACGACGTATTTGTATGCTCAAATATTCTGTAAACGGTACATGTGAACGTGATCTCGAATGTTATGATGGTAAATGTTATGATAATATATGTCGACAATCATGTAATTCTGATGATGACTGTTCATTAACAAAAGAATATTGTACTATATCTAAGTATTGTAATACTAAATACTGTGGTATATGTACACGAGATGCACAATGTGCTAATAATCGTTGTAAACTTTTTCATTGTACATCAATTGATTGTACTACAGTATTAGACACTCTTTTTAAACAATCATAAATATATTTATATATATATATATATTTGACAATTACAAAAAAAAAAAAAGAAGGCATAATAAAAGGGAAGACTTATAAATTCTATTAACATAAAATAAAACTAAGCATTGCTGCTAGACATATGATAATAAATAATTTAAATAAACTTGGTCGTTCAATATTTGTTGAACCAATATTAACATCACCAATTTTATTTTGTTTATTGACTTGAATACTTAAATCATCATCAGAAAAACATAATGATGAATTATAAATATCATTGATTTCAAAACGTCGTGAAAGACAAAATTCATGTCCATTAGCATATATTTTACCAACAGGTATACCTTTCATTAATGCTGTTGCACATGCTTTATACATTCTATTACAATAAGATAAACATACATGTAAACGTTCACTACGATAAAAAATATATTGTAATGGTGAACATACATAACACATTAATACATTAATAAAACGTGTACATTCAGATGATGAACCAATTAATGGACGTACTTGAGAAAAAATAAGTCGTACTTCATTATCATGACAACAACTATATTCTTTAAACCATGTACAATTTGTTAATGCTGGTTGTGGACTTGGTGCTCGATTAGAAAAAAATGAACAATAAGGTGTAATTTTAGATGATATTATAGAAAAAGAATTATTTAAAGTTAAAACAGATGATAATAGAAAAAGAAATAAATAAATTCTATGAAATGAAAAATAAAAATAATATGACATCAGACAAAGCCAATATTAAATATATATATATACAATATCTGAAGTATAAATATCATTTTTTAAATGAATTAACATTATACTAAATTCTTTTCTTTTTCTTTCTTTTTTTTTTTTTTAATCTAAAATGGCAACAAAGAAAAAATTCATTCCTTTTGGTTTTTCTTTTTTTTTGTTTTAGCTTTGCCGTGTATACAAACCAACAAAATAGAAATCAGACAAATGAATGTCTAATATTAGCAAAATCTTTCTCTTTCTTTGTACAGATACACATTCCAAAAGACGACAAAAGATAAATAACAAAATGAATTAAAAAAAAAAAAAAGAGAAAGAAGAAAATGAACGAGAGCAAAGAAAAAAAATGAGTAATTATCACTGCACCGGAGCTTGAACTGGTTGCTGTTGTTGTTGCTGTTGTAAAGCAGCTCGCTGACGACGAATTGTATATAAAGCACCGATAAGACCAAGTAATGCTGCCATTAAATATAAATCCCATGATGAATCAAAATCAATTATTGTTGAATGATTTTCATTAACGTTTGATGTTGTTGATGTTGTTGTTGTTGATATTGTTGATGTTGATGTTGTACTTGATGTTGTCATTGATTCAGTTGATGATGATGAAAAAAATATTGAAGTTAATTTTTCCCAAAATAATTGTAAATTAAGTTTAAATAGAACAATACTAACAGGTAAATAAGCATCAGCACTTGTTTCTGCTGCCATATCATAAAAACGTTTTGCTAAATGTATATCCTTACAAAAAAAAAGAAACAAAGAAATAAAAATTTCAAAAAATATATTATTCCATCAAATAATGTTTCCTTTGAATACGTAGGGCGTTCAAAAAAGTATCCGGACTAGTTTTATTTAAAAATGATAAGAAGCGTTGGTGTCTTTAATTTTATTGTCTGTATGTAGTTCATAGAGTCCTCTATCCATAGACATGATATGCTCTGCTGAATGAAACGTAGATATAAGAATATAGAAATACATTTGAGACCACTATGTATCACTCAGTGATAAATTTCTTGTTTTTATAAGACTATTACTCATTTAATATTTACGAAAGTATAGTGGCAGTTTATAACAATCGACTCGCTATTGCTTATTACACCTTCTGAGTAGGATCGTTGTTTTAAAGATGGATAGTAATCTAAATGTAAATAGCATAACCATTAAAATTTGTAGAACCCTAGTGATCGAAGATAGTCAAAGCGCTCATGAGTAAATAGTGAACATCATTTACATTTCAAATGTACAGTATATAACATTTTATTTGATCAATTATATATGACCAAAGTCAGTTCAAGAAAAAAAAAGCACATACTCTTACATAATGTCAATGTGATGTATCGACTACATCTAACACTACTATTGATAGTTATTTATTCACCTTTAAAACGACGAGCCCATTCAAATATCGTAGTATGTGATAGAGCATTACCACTGTAAACTGTCACCATACATTTATAAATGTTGGATGGAAACTCGCCTTAAAAAACCTCAAACTTTGCTTAGATTTTTAATTTTTGTCATTGTGTATATATAGTGGTCTCAAATGTGTTTCTATATTTTCATATATATGTGGAGTTCAACAGAGTTTATCATGTCCATAGATAGAAAAGTCCATGAACTACACACAGACAATAAAACAAAGACAGCAGCGCGTCCTATTGTTATTAAATAAAACTAGTTCGGATACTTTTTGATATCCCTTCCCCCATTTTAGTTTTCTTCTTCAATTGCTTAAATTTCTAATGATGGTTATTTTTCTATTAAATTCTTTAAAATCAACATACTCTTTTTAATCCTAAGCCTTTTTCATGCATATAAGCTAAATTAAACATTGCTTGTGGATTTTGACTTTGATCACTTGCATATTTATAATGTGTTGCTGCTGTTTCATAATTCTGTTCAGTACCATAACCACTATACAAACAAAATAGAAAAGATTAATTTTCTTTTTTTTTTCTTTTTTTAAATCTTACTAATAAAAATAATCTCCTAATTTAACTCGTGCTGTATGAAAACCTTGAGTTGCTGCACGATTCCAATAAATTAATGCTCGTCTATATTGTTCATCTTTATTATGATAAATATTAATTAATTGATTTGGCATTTGATCAAGTAAATATGCAACATTTGATTGTGCAACTTCATATCCAAGTTCAGATAAATATAAATATTTCATAAATGCTTGTTCAATATGACCTTGTCTATAAAGATTATATGCTTCAATAAACATATTTGACCATTTACCACGTTCAGCAACATTTTTAAAAAGTTCTGTTGCTGTTGTACATGAACGTAATACACCTGTACCAGTAGCATGCATTTGTCCAAGATTATAATAACCAAGTGCATGACCTGATTGTGATGCAGCTTGAAACCATTTAATAGCCATTTTATAATCACGTTTAACACCTTCACCTTTATAATACATTATACCAAGCATAAGTTGTCCTTCAACATAACCTTGATCAGCTGATAATTGAAAATATTTAAATGCTTTTTCATAATTTTGTTCAATACCAGCACCATGATAAAATGCCATACCAACACCAGCTTGTCCTATTGGATTACCTTTTTCAGCTGAACGTTGAAAAAATTGTAAAGCAGTTATATTATTTTGTTTAATATAATCATTTTTTTCTGAATATAATTTTCCTAAATATGCCATAGCATTAGAATTTCCACTTTCAGCAGCTAAACGAAAATAATAAAGTGCTTTATCAAATGCTGTATCACGTAAATAATATAATTGACCAAGACCATACTAATATTAAAAAAAAATACAAAATTAAGAATTTTTATTTTTTTTGTTTTTACTTGAGCTTGTGCATCGCCTCGATCGGCTAATAATTGATAATATTGTACAAGATCTTCATCAACCATAATATTATTTTGTGTTGGATGTTCTTCTTCATCATATAAACGAATACGTTGAATTAATTGTCCTGTTGCTGATGTCATTTTTGATGAGACTAAATAAATTTATTGATAAAAATTTTTCAATTAAGAATTAGAAAATGTTTGTTACCATATGTTGCTACTTGTTTATAAAACATTAAAGCTGATTCACAACTATGAGGAAGAGAAACTGTACGCCAATATCGATAACCCTAGATAATTAAAAACAAAATATTATTTCTTTGTGTGTTCATTACTTAATTAATATTAGAAACTATACAATGAAACGTTATTTGAATAAGAAGAATTTAAAACTGACTCTTAGTAATTCTATGCTCATAGAATAATTAAGAATGTTTCTTTCTAAGATATAGATCTTGATACTTTATTTTTTATTGATTAAATCTTGATTAGATTTTTTAGAATGTTTTACTTACAAGAGCCATTTGAGCTGGACTATAACCATCAATAGCAGCAAATGTTAAATGAACAAGAGCCTAAATAAATAAAATAATTATAATTAATAATTGACATCAAATATATGAACATGCACGCTTAATTGTTATGGGTTATCTATCTTTTTTTTACATATTCATATTATGATAAACATGAAATCTAAGTTTAAGATTCATTTGACTAGAAAGTCAGATAGTCACGTTTATGGAAACAAGATATCTATAAGAAACATTTAGACAAGAAAATCTCGTTTTAAGTAAGCATGTTTTGAATGAATATTTTTTCTATTACAGATTCATTTACAATAATAATAATAATAGCCGATTATTAAGTGCGAACATTAACTAATATAGTCACATAGTAGTATTAGTTGTGATTATGTGCAACTAAAGTAATAAGAAAGAATTATATCTCATCTTCTAATGACTAAAAATATCTTACTGTATATTTTGATATCTACATTTTCTATACAAAAAAACAAAAAGAAAGATTTTTATTGAAAATTTTACGAAACATAATTGATAAACAAATTCAATAATCGATTTAGATCTCGGATTTAAACTATTAAAAAAAAAAAAATCTTTACTATAGATAACTTATTATTCTTAATTATAGTAAATAATGATATAACTATAAAATTGAATAAAAGCAATGATTAACCAGCATTGTTTTATTCAAGATTTCTATTCTATAAATGCAATGTGGAAAGGAAACTAACTGAGTATTATTTTCAATTCAAGTTTAAAGAAACTCGCTCAAAATAGAAAACTACCTTGAAGAATTAAATAGAACTTTACTCATGTAAAAGTATCTACTACATATGTTTTCTTTTAAACTTACTTTTGAAATACTTGCATTTGGAAGAAGTCCAACACTATTCATAAAATAGAGTCCCTAAATAAAGAATATACATATAATTAACAAAAGCAAGATGAAATATATCAACATACAAAATGTGATTTTGCTGAACCAATTTCAGCTCCTTCATCAAAATATTTTTTTGCTTGAGAAAAATCCATTGATAAATGTACACCAATAATATGAGCAAAAGCTAATTCTTCTTTTGCTCCAATATGACCTAAATCAGCTGCTTCTTTAAATAATTTATAAGCACTAAAAACATTTTAATTCAAAAAACATATTTGTAAATACAAAAAAAAAACGAAATCTTACGTTTCATATTGTCGATTAACTGTAACATTAATTAATTTAATTGCTTGATGATAAATTGTATTAGCATGTTCCATTTCTGGTGTTAATGAAATAATTTCTTCTACATCATTATTATCATCTTCTTTTAATTCTTGATTAAAATTTTTATCATCTATAGATGATTGTTTATCGTTTAAACTATCTGTTCGAGATGGTTTAGTAAATAAATGTGGTTGAGTTTTTTTTAATGTTTGATATAAATCTTGTATCATATTTGATAATTTTGTTTGTGATTGATCTGAATTATGTTTTTGACGATATTTATTATGTAAACTAACACCTATTTGTTTTAATATACGTTGTAAATTAACATCATCATCATTATTATCATCATCAGCATCAGCATCAATTTCTTCTTCATTATCTTGATTTATTTTAGAATTTTTTTCTTGTTCTTTTATACGATATTCAATAATTAAATCTTGTAATGATTCATTTAATTCATCAATATCTTCTTCATTATCTTTTATAGATTTTTTTTCAGAAATTTTTTCATTTACTATTTGTTTATCATCATGTTGTTGTGAAGAAGTTGTATCATCAACATGTAAATGAATTTGTGCTTCAGGTGCAACAGCTTCAGGCTAGAAATCAAAAACCAAAAAAAAAATTGTAAAATAACAATAAAAGAATATTTTTCTTTATATTACAGATATTGGTTCTATTGTATCTTTTTCATCGGATCGTTTTGATTTGTCAGTTGCAGTTACTACGAACAAAAAAACAAAAATGTGTACAATTAAACATTTAAAATCCTGAAAAATATTTTATTTTGTACACATAGTGTTATAATTATATGCTTGTTATATTAATGGACGTGTCATACAGAATGATTTTCATTTGCAGTTCGTGCTTATCTCATCTACACTTCGTTATAGAAAATATGAATATTGTTTCAGAAGAGAAGATCGAGTAATACTATCTTATCCTAATTAAAGTAAAATTCTTGTTTTTTTTTTTCCTTTTGTATTGAACATATGCCTAATTTATTAAAGCTCATCGAGTTAGTCTTAGTTTTGAAAAATTTTCTCTTAACAAGTTCAAAAAATTCTAAATTCGACGGATTCTTTTTTTTACATTTTTGATATACTTGTTCATTCTTAGATTTTTATGTATGTGTTATATTATTATTTGTAATATATTGAATGGAAAATTCTCTTTATTCTAAAGTTCGAACAATTAGATTATTTCTGTTCATCAATTCTAGAGAAAACAATTATATCTTTACCTAATGTAATACATCCAATTATATTGCATACGATGAAAATAGTGATTATAAAGTATTTACTACTATAATATTGATGCATCTAAAAACAAATGATATGACAATAGAAAGTATATCCAATCTATAATTTCATTTAATAATTTTGTTATCTATGTATCATTATATTTCATCTTAATATAAGACTATTAAACTAAACTCATAGTTGTCAATGATCTATTGGCAATTTAGCAAATAAAACAATAGGAAAACAGGATCATTGATGACTAGATTTCTTTTAACCAACCATTATCGGCCAAGCCTCTGGCCAATCAAAAAAACTAATCTTCGTTTAAATCATATATAAAAAGAGGACGCTATGATGTATTTAATTAAAAAACAATATATATATTTGTAAAATAAAACTCATAACGTTAACTAATAATAAACAAAAAAAAAAGAAGAAAAGAAAATATGAACAACTACCGAACGATAAAGTAGATTAAACATTTTCGTTTGTTTTTTGTTTTTTTTATAAAAAAGTAAATTTACAATGGAATTTGATATGTATAAACTCGATAATCTTTTGATGTTAAATGAAGAATATTTTTATCATTTGTTTCAATAGCAACATCAAGTATTTGTGAATGACATATTCGTGCTGTATATGCACCTAAACGTTTTTTTTGTTCATATTCATCATATATTGTTATATTTAAACCTTGATGATTATCAATAATAATTAATTGTCCTTTAATATTTAATTTAATATTTGTTGGAAATAAAATATAATTATTATCTTTTATTTCACGTAAATATTCACCATAATATGAAAATATTTTAATTGAATGTAAATGATTATCTGATATAAATATTTCTTTATTATTTGAACAAATTGATGTTGGAAATTTTAATTGTTGATTTAAATTAAATAAATTAAGAATTTTTCCATCAAATGAAAATATATGTAATTTTTGTATTTGAGATTCAATAACAATAATACGATGTAATTTATCAACAGTTAATGCACGAGGTTTTTCTAAATATTGTCCAAATCTACGTATAAAATCACCTTTACATGTAAATATATGAATTTGTGGTCGAGGATGACGTTGTATAACAACTAATTCATCATTACCACCAGGTACAACAGCTATACGATATGGATAAAGTAAATTTTGACAACCTAATGTTCGTCCACGACCAAATGAATATTCATATTGTCCATATTCATTATTAAATATTTTAATACAATGTGCATTTGTATCAACAACAGCTAATTTTCCACATTCAAGCCATGCAACACTATTTGGTTCACGAAATGCATTATTACCATCACCATATTCACCTAATGAACGTATAGATTTTAATACATGACGAAATGAACCATTTTTATAACGAGTTTCTGTACGATCTTAATTAAATAAATAAGAAATAAATATTTTTTTATCTTTATTATTTACTAAGTATTCGTTGATCAGATGGTACTGAAATTAATTGAACTGGATCTGATTTCAATGGTGACCATACTAGAAAAAACAATAAAATATTTAAAATTACATTGTATATACACATACAATCTATTGATTTGATTAAAAAATTATCTGGTGGTGAATATGGAACTAGAATTAATATAGAATAATTAATAAAATTTGTAATTATTATTTAATAATCATAATATTTACTTGAATTAAATATATTATTATCAATCATAGCTGAACCAAGAGCAAGACGTGGTTGTTTTGTTGCAACACCAGAATCGCTATTTTACAAGAAAATAGAAAATGAAAATAAATATAAAAAGAAAATTCAATTTACATTTCAATTCCTAACATTGATGACCATATATTTTCCTTATCTGAACAACCAATTGGTCGTTTTCGAGAAGAACCAAATGAATTCATAAGCATTTTTGTTGTTGTTGTTGTTCAAATAAATAAAATAATATGATTTTTTTTTGATTTAAAAGATTGTGTTCAATGGAAATTAAAAACAAGTTTAGATAAATACTTAACGAATCGATTTGATTTTCCTCGAATAATATTTAAAAGAAAAGAAAAATAAAACATATGTTAACTGACTAGATATATATATATACATAAGTAGACAAAGAAAATAATGAGGGTTGTAAGGGCATTCCCTTTGCATTCTTTGTATCACATCAGCTGTAAAGAAAGAGCGAGAGAGAGAGAGATAGTGAAATCATATAACAATGCAATATCCTTGTTTGATCTGATAACACTTGTAGAAAATTTCTAGCTGCCGGCCGAATGTTTAGGCAATGTCGAACAAATTTTATTAACAGAGAAACAATTTAGTTATGGACGACATTTTCGGACGATTTGTTTGTGAACTGTACACATTGTCAGAAAGTTGTCCTTAAAAGATTAATTATTTCGTTCAAAATACGATCAATAGAAACCATTTCAAGTTTGAATATTAGATTGTATTTGTAAGATATTAACAAACAATAGATTTATATTTTGAATTTTTATTATGAATAGATGATTTAAAAATTTTCTGTTTTTTTTTTTTTTACAAAATGAATTGTATTTTATTCATATGAAAGAAACATTTAATCGAATTCAATTGAAGCAAAAAAGCGTTTAATATTTAAAATCCAGGGGTCGCAGCGGCCTATGCCTGAAAATCAGGACATTTTAAGTCTTATCATAGTGCTATTGTTCAGGATGAAAGCTGCACAAAAGTATGTCGATCAATGATAGTTCATTGGAAGTACTATATTATATTTCGCCGAATTCGTGCTTCGAGTTCTGCTTTTTTTCTTTTCGTTCGCTATCTCTAATTATGCATTGTGTATACGTTTTCTTTTTCTCAGATACGTGGCCTACGGAAGGAGACATCCTTCACTATTGGAGTCTTATTTGTTTCTAGTAGAAATCGCTTTTTTATCAGGAAAACAGCCGTAAAAAGAAATAAGAAAAATCCGCATTTTCGCAGTGTTTAAGGTTCTATAACCATCTTTTCGGCACTCAAACCATTTCCCTGCATTACACTTCCTTCTCCTCTCTGCTACTTTTCCTCTTCTTCATATCCCTGCTCTTCGCACATATAAAATCACCATGTTATAGATAAACGAATAAAAGCGTTTACAAGAAAACTTTAGTAAATCGACTAAAATGTTAAAATAAGGAAATACAAGATTTAATGCAGCTATCCACGGTCGTGAACTCTATGATATAAATACAGCCGAAGTACTGATTATAAAATAGCTTCTTTCAAAAACCAATTAATTCGAAATAATCGATTCTTAAAGTGATTATACAAGAAAAAAATGGACAGAATAAAAATTTGAGTACCATCTTTTTTTTTATAGAAAATATTCAACAAATATTTTCATAAAATTTTTAAGAAACGTTGAGTATAACAAAATAAAACATCAAAATGACGTATATGTGATCCTACAGAGATAAATCTTGAAAAATCAGGAAAGTACACACGCTGCGAGACCTGAAAATCAATAAAGATAAAGAAATTCTATGAATAAGTTCTATTTCTCAAAATCTCATTCATTGAAATCAATAAATCAAACTTGAATAAGTTAAACATATATTAAAAACGACTAATAGCTTTGGTTATATTTGTTGTTGGTTTTTTAATATGAAAACAAAAAGAAAGAAGACAAGACTCATTTACACAAATAGAGTAAGCAAGATCGAAACAGGGATGACAAAAAAGAAATGAAAAACGTAAGAGTGTCACTAATAATCTAATATAATTCCTTTTTTCTAAACTTCAATAGGCATGTCACCAAGTTCTTCATCATTTGGTAAATATGGTTCTACTTTAGCTGGATCAATATACCAAGGACTAACACCCGGAAGACCAATACTTTCACGTGCAGCTAAACGAAGATATGCTTCACGTTGACACCAATTATTTAATCTAAATTAAAAAATTATTTTTTGTTTTTTTAATATTCAAAAAAAAAAAAAAATCTTACAATCGATCAGGAAAATATCGCCACATAAACCAAAATAGAAAAATTCCAACAGAAACAAGTGAAAACATTCGTTGTTTCATTTTTGCTTCATCTCGAAATTTATCATTAAAATCATAACCATACCATATATGCTAAAATTATAAACAATACATATATTATCTAATAGAGTTTAACAACTAGTATTCATATTCTCTCAAAATTTTCGTATAAAACAGATGCAAAAGTTATGAATTCAATAGATTCTAATTCTCAATATTTGAATAAATAAATAAATTCTGAAAGAAAAGAAACTCTATACTTGAAAAAATTTTCAATGAAATGAATAAAAAAAAAAAGGAAATCTTACATTGACTTGTTTTCTTTCCCATTGTGGTTTTGTAAATTCTCCTTCTTGTATTTCACGTTCTGTTGGCCATAGAATTTCAATTTCTTTTCCTTTAACTTCATCAGGTGCACCGACACGTTTTTGATCGGATTTTATAGGTTTTGATACTGGATCTTTATCAAGTGGTTTTAATGTACCCCAATCTAAATATTCAAATAAAATAAATTTTAAAATAAAATATATTATATTAAACAAACCATCAGGTACAGCTTGTGGTGTTTCCGAACGTGAACGACCACTAATCATATGACGTACTGATGGATGTATTAAAAGCGGTCGCCACCGCGTTAAAAATTGATAACCCGTTCTGACGGGTACAATCATCTAAAAAATAAATAGAAGCCTTAATAATCTTAAACATATTCTAAAATATTAGCTTATATATAGATATATTTTTTCCTTATGAAATTAAAAAAAAGAAAAAAAAAACAAAATATTATTTTTTTTGTTTAAGCAGCAGGTTTCACTATTTGATCACGAATAATAAATTCCTGAGGTGCACGTTGTTGCCATTCGGTAAATGAACCCTAAAATATAAAAATATTAATTATAATAAAAAATTTGTTTCAAAACTATACTGCTGAATTTGACTTTATTCTCAATGTCAAACAGCCCTTAGGTTTTGACCGATGAAAATAATAGAATATATTAACTATTATTTTTAATTTTGCACATTTTTAAAATAAAATTATTTTCTCAAACAATCATAAATATTAAATCGATGAGATTTATATGTGCATTTTTAATTCTTATTAAAATAAAATATAATCTTACATTATATACTGATAAAGATTTTTGACCGAGAATATGTGCAACAAAAGCCAATGTACTTGCTGTTGTTCCTGTTTGACAACTATATACGGATGGTTTAGATAGATCAACTCCGGCATTAGTAAAAACTGAAAGAAAAAAAAAGGAATATTTCAATATATTTTGGGGATATCAAAAGTAGTGACACATATATGGTTTAATAGGGGAACTCCTTTGACAGATAATCGAACTGATATTTGAAGACCTTAGATTAGATCAATATCAATATTATTGAGCTTTGATTATATATACTGTGGATATAATGAATATATGAAATTGATTTATTTATGTTTTAAATTAATTATTAAAATAATAATAATGTATTTAATTAAGAAAAACAAAAATGAGTAATGAGACAAATAAGAAATTTCGTCTTATGTCCTAAATAGAGTGTTTATTGACATGATTACCTTTGTTAAGTTCATCGTCGGATTTTAAACATTGTTTTGTTTGATCAAATACATTTGTATATGGAATATTCAATGCATTAGGTATATGTCCAGCATTTGAACCTAAAAACAATGAATAAAATAGAATTTTATCATTAATAATAAAAAATAAATAAACCATGAAATAAATTTGCTGGTCGTGCATCAACAATTTGTGGTTCTTTACTATTTATTGATACAATATTTAATATATCATCATAATTTTTTATTAAATCTTTATTTAAATGAACAGTAAATTTTCCTGTCTAAAAATAAAAAAGGTAAAAATATGATTATTTATTAATTCTTTTTTTTTACTTCTTCTGTTTTAGAATCAGTATTATTATCGGATGATTCTAATGTATTAATATCTTTTAACCATTTATAAAAACCACCATTAAGAATAGATAAACTATTCATTCCATATGTCTTTAAACAAAAAAAACAATCATAGACAAAAATTAATCTAACGAATAAAAAAATAAACAAAGAGCAAGAATTTAAATTACTTTAAGTAACCACCAAGCTCGACTGGATGCATAAAAACCCATTGGTGAACGATCATAAAGAACAATATGATCACTATTTGATACACCCAAACGTGAAAGATAAGATTCAAAACATTTTATTTCAGGTAGACCTCGTGGTATAAGTTTTGTTGGTGTTGTACATTCAAGTTGATCAAAATAACGAGCTTGTGGAATATGAGCACTAAATAATTAATTATATATTTAAAAATCAAACAAAACATTTGATAGAACAAATGTTTTTCAACTATTATATGAAAAAGAAAGCTACGTACTAATCTTAAATTGTGAATAACTTTTGATAGGAACAAGATCTAGATCTGCGGTTTTCACCATTCGAAAGAGCGATGTTCGAACCATCCATCTATATAATATTGATGCTTTTTCATAGGAAATTTTAATTGACGTTCTTTTTTTTTGTGTATTTTCATAATAATCTCGTCTCAAATTACGCCAAAATGTAGCTCGAATCATCCACCTTTCGTCTTAGCGAATATTATATAGATCGATGATCTGAACATCGCTCTTTCGAATGGTGAAAACCGCAGATCTAGATCTTGTTCCTATCAAAAATTATTCACAATTTAAGACTCCCAGGTCAATCATGCCCAACCGGACTCTGTCGTTTCCGAATAATTCTGGTCGGAACCCTTCGAACTTTCGTCGGAATCCTAACTAACGGATTCCGATAGAAACCGCAGAAAATCCGATCGAATCTGCCGGATTCCGACGAAATCCGTTAGTTAGGATTGTTTGACCTGGGGCTGGTAGGTAACTTTTGAATTATCCTGTATACTAGTTCAATGGATTAATTCATAGAAATTTTTCTATTTTTAATATAAGAGAAAATAATCAATAGAAAGGATACGTTAAATTTAATGTTTCAATTATTTTTTTCGAAAACTTACGATTGATATTCTTTTTCAAATTGTTTTCCAATATCTGTTTCAAGAATTGATATTTTTTTTGGTGGTGTTCGTACAAGTTCATTTAATGCTTGACATGAAAGTAATGGTGAAATAATTTTTGTTGTTTTCATCTATAAAATAAACCAAAAAAAAACACACACATTTAACTTATTCTTTTCAATCAAAAAAAAAAGAAACCACTCAGAGAGAAGATTAATCAAATAATCATAAAATGATTTCACATGTGAAATAATACATAAGCTAACCTGTATTATTTCTCAACATGTGTAATCAATCAAATATATAAAATAAATTTTTCATCATTGTGGTGTTTTTTTATTTTTCGAAAAAACAAAAAAAACATTTTATAAGACATATATTTATTTATTTATTTTATCTTAAAGTCAAGATTTCTGAATTTTGTTTTCAACAATGAGCACACGGTTATTTTTTGAGAAAAAAAAGTAGCAGTAGTTCAATACACAGCACAAGAACAAAGCAATTTTAAAATCATCCACACACAGATATCTATATATACATAGATCTTCTTCAAAAAAAAAAAAAAAAAAGAAATTTAGGCGCATCAACGAACAGAGAAAATTGTTTTAAAGATGAAACAAAAAAAAAAGACTAAAATCACCGGATAGATCTGTATGTGTGCGTGTATATGTGTTAATAAGGATATTATATTTTTTGGCTACTTATCCTCTTATACTTAAATCGAAGGATATTTAGAAACAAAAAAAGAAAAAGAAGAAGAAGAATATTTCTTATAGAAGAACATTTATTAATCTTTAAATAATTCTTTTGGGTTGGTTTTTTTGTACAATGTTAACATTTCAATGAAATGTCTATAACGGATTATAATCGTTGAGAAACTGTCGAATGATGAGAATTACTGTTAATTAATGTTGTTGAACTCATTGTTCGATCATCAGTCTAGAAATAAAGAAGAATATTAACAAAAAAAAATGAGCAAAAAAAGTTTATATTAGATCGATTTTCTTTTTCGTTCACAAGAAAACATGTTTGAAATGACACTTGTGTCATTAGGTAGGAACCTATCGCTGCTAGACATTTTCTATAATAATTCATGCTCTCTTTTTCAAGTTATGGTCATTTCACTAAACTTTTAGTCTATTGCCACATATATCACGAGAAACTGAAATAGAAATTATTCATAGGATGAATTCTGTAGTGAACATTTTCGATGTACGATAAGATTTATAAGAGCTTGTTATAGATAAAAATGATTCATTCGTTAGAAATACAACATAAAATATATAAGCAAAAGATTTAGAATAGATTATTCTATACAAAAGTCAATTTTTTTGTTTTAATTACTAATTTCTTGCGATATAATATGTTCCTATGAACATCTATTCTAAAAATTGACTATTGTTCATTTCAGAGTAAAGTGGTCGTGGGCATTTTTTGAATAGCGATAGAGATCTCCGGTTTTCACTGTTGGAAAGAGCAGATGAAGATGCATCGAATTATATACAGAAAGACTTTTCTACAGGGTTTCATATAAAACTTCAAGAAAAACAGAAAGCTTCTTATAGTCACGATAGTAATTTATTGATTTTCAAGAGTGTGCTGGAATCATCAAAGAAAGGACTACAAAACTATATCAAGATGCTGTTTCTTACTACTATCAGTATGATATCGAAACACAATTGACGACTATGAAAATAATCGAAAAATGTAAATTTTTGATAGAAAAGTCACTTTTTTTTAACGTATGTGAGAAAAGCAATTCTTTTAACTAAACCTTTAGGAAAGTAGTTAGAAAAATCTTTCAATATATATAATTCAATGCCTACTCTTTCCAATGGTGAAAATCCGAGATCTCTATCTCGTTCCTATTAAAAGTTATTCAAAAAAAAATGCCCACGATCACTTTACTCTGAAAATGGACAATTAGTTCTAATTTGATCTATATTCTTGAAATATTTTCTATACGTACAGTATTAATATTTAGAAGTTTTTGTGGTTTTTCCCAAATTGTAATAAGTCCATCTTGTGATGATGTAATTAAATAATTTTCACCAAAATAAATACCATTTAAACGTTCATGTGCAATAAATTCTGTAATAATAGGTTCAATAACTTGTATATCATCTAATTTCGGACATAAATTAGTACCAAATGTACTTTTAGTTAAATCAACACTTGTTTGACGTGATGATAAATTATTATTATTATTATTTAATAATAAATTTTGATTTGTATCATCAGATGTTATTGTTGTTGTTGTTGTTGTTTTTGATGATATAGATTTATTTCCACTTGATGTATTTGAAAATAATTGTAATTTACGTGATTTTTTTAATGAACCATTTGTTTGTGTTAATAAAGTAATATCAGATGTATCATCAATGGATTTATTTATTTTATTTGAATGACGTACAAATGAAAGACGAGATGTTAGAGATGAAAATGAAGATTTTGTTGTTGTTGATATTTGATTATTGATAATTATATCAGATGATGATGATAAATAACCATTTGATGTTATTATTGATGATGATGTTGTTGATATTAATGGATATGTTATAGAATTTTGTTTACTATTTATATTTATTTTAAGTATATCTTCTGTTATATCCCATAAACATAAACGATTATCTTGTCCAACTGAACCAATACGATAAAATAATGATGGAATATTTGTATCACAATAGGATGCATCACCATTTGTATATGAAATAAATTTTTTTATTCCATGATTATTTTCATTATCATTATTAAATGATGATGATGGTTGAATAAATGATGAATAATAAGTTTTAGCATTCATATATGTATCAAATGATATAGCATTTATCCATGATGTATGACCATGACCACGACATATAACACGAGATGTATGTTCATTAGGATCAAGAGAAAATAATGTTATAAAATCATCTTCACCACCTGTTGCAATATATTTACCATCGGGAGACCAACATACCTATTCAATAATTAATTATTTTTAAATTTTAATATTTTTTTTATAAAGAAATCAAAATATATAATCTAATATTATACTAATTAATTTCTATTATCTTTCAAAGACCTTATATATCTAGTTTTATATCGTTCATATAAGTTGATACTTTTAAGGTTTTTATTTCAAGATAAAAGCCAATCAAAAAGAAAAAGGTTAACATGAATTATCTCTATGAGCCTCTTAAGCTGAACTATAATCATTTTACTGAATTTTTGATCTAACTTTAGGATTTCGATGCGAAACTTTGTCTTAAGTGTTAGGTCAATTGATCTTAAAAATTTCACTCGAAAAAATCGAGTATATTCAAAAACTCAACGTCTCGACAGAAAACAAACATTCGTTTTGGTCAAGCCTTTCAAGTTATTCTATGCATCATTGAACCTATCCAGTGTTTTATCGAGAATTTTTTCTCCGGAGGGGCGATTTGAATTTCCGAGGGGACGAAAAATTATTTTCGGGGGAGCGCCGCCTCCCCCGGGCACCCCTCTCTGAACTTATCTATGGGCGAAATACTTCTTTGTGAATACATAAAACTGGTTTGAAAATTTAATAAAATAATTCTAATTGAACTATAGGAATAAATTCTTTTAAACTTTTGCTAATCTTGCTAAAGCTTTCTTGGTACGTTCGAACAGCGGATATTAGTTCCGATTATTCTCTCATTACTAAAACGATTATATACTTTCATGATTGTATAAAATCATTTACTATTGTACGTATTTAATCTGACATAAAGAAATTCTTCCAACTGATAAACTTCGTTAGAACTTATCATCTGAAAATTTTGTGCAATAAGCCGAATTCAAAAAGAAAAGTGTAATGATACGAATCGTTTTACAGTATTCTTATTCACATTGTGATCTCAAAAAAGGAGGTTATCCGTTGAAAGAAATCTTTCATAAGACATGAAATAAAATATTTATTCTCAACAAAAAAAAAAAAACTTACACAAAGAAGTCCACCAAAATAACTTTTCATATAAGCAATTAATTCCATTTTTTCATAATTAAATATTCTTAGAAAACCATCTTGTGATACCACAGCTAATAGAACATTATCAGGTGAAAAAGCAAATTCATTAATACTACCACTACCAATCGACCAACGTGATATTGGATTACGTGCTTGTTTTGATTTATTCTAAACACACACACAAAAATAAAGAATGTTAGTTGATTTTTTTTTGTTTTTTGTTTTCGAAAACAAACTTTTGTATTTGATATAGAAAAATTTTTTTCATCATCTTTTATTGTTGAATATGTTGGTTGAATATTTGTATCACGTTGATAATTAAGTTGTTCATCATAAACATATAAATAACCACTTGAATATGATGCAAGAAAATATGTTCGAGGAGAAGGTAACCATTTAATACATGTTACTTTTGTTTTATCCAAATAACTCTAATCATTAGAAAAAACAAAACAATAAATAATTCAATTAAATACTTTGTTTTTTTTTTTTTTTGTTGTTACTTACTCCTTCATTAAATACTTTTTGTTCTTTAGTTTGCATATTTATATATTGTATTTGTCCTTTAGAAAATCCGACAAGAACATGTAAAATATTTGTATTTGGATCTTGAGTAATATCATGACATGTAGGTTGATGATTTTGTTTATAGACACGATGGTCAATTGGTTCACCAAAATTTGGCTAGAAATATTTTTCAATTAATCAATCATTTTTCATCTATTTTATTTTGGTACAAAAAAGAATTGTATATTTAAAGAAAAAGTACTGAAAAATCATAGCTCGTACTAGAAATTACTACAATCAATGATTCTTCTTTTTTTTTTTTCGTCTTTTATTGCAGCGATACACAGCAAAAGCTGATCCTAATAATAATACGGCAAAAAAGTTCTAATGAAATACTGATGTTAACGTTAGATTTTTATAGTATGATATATCAACTTCTAAATTTTTACAATTTTTCTTTTTTCATTCAAGTTTTCTCTTCCGGAAGTTCGAGAGCGACAACAAATACTTTCGGAAAAGTGAATTCAATTTCTAAAGATACATCATTCCCTCGATAGATTTCTCAAACTAGAATTTAAATAAGAAATCATTTTATATCTCTTTAACAAGGAATCAAAAAAAGAACGAACTAATTATTTCAATATATATATATATATATACCTGTATAGCTTCAGCAAATTCATAAATAATTAATTCTCTTCCAACATTAAATGCTAAAATATCTGTTAGAAATATACTACCATTCGGTTGATTTAATTCATTTCCATTAATTAATGATAATTGTTTTTCTTCATTTGAATTATCATTATTATTATTTATTGATGATGAACGTCTTGAACTTGTTTGACTATTTGTATCACAAATATTTTGTACACGAGATAATAATGTTATTTTAACTGGTTCATTAAGACATGTACTTGTACCAATTTTACCAAGATTATCAATTAATGATGATATTTTATATGTACCTTCACGTGAAGTAAATTCTGTTTTAATTTCATCACTACGTTGTATTGAATCTTTAGTAAAACAATTTACAGGAGAAGTTATTAATGGAGCTATACAATGATTAATATTCGATGATTCTGTTCGAGACATTTATATCGTCGTATAATCGACGGATAAATAAAGAAAATAATTGATTAATAAATGAGAACTTCATTCGAATGAAATTTTTATATTAAAATCAAACATATTTTGTATTGTTTCTTTCTTTCATTTTATTTTTTTTTTTTTTTGTGGGGGGGAGTTTTTTTTTTTTTTTTTTTTTTTTTTTCCTTTAGAAGTAAGTATATATTACTTCTATTGTATCGCCATATTGTTTGCTTTTTAAGATTCTATAGATTAGAATTGGTTAAAAAAAATAACAAATGATTAGAAAAAAAAAATGAAAAATATTTAATAAATAAAATTTTTCTTAATTTTTATTGAAATTTTATTTAATTTTTAAAAAATATATATAATATATTTAAATAGATGTCATTACAATATGAATGAAATTTTAAGGAAAAAGATGATATTGATAAATATTTTTTAATTGGTTAATAAAATATCTTTAAACATAAAAAACAATAATGAAGAATTTTTTCTTTTTTTAATGTTTTTAAGATATATTTTTTATAGAAAGTTTTAAACCTATGATTATTTAATATACTTATTAACATATTTTTATAATTCGATATGATTAATGACTATCAAAATTATATGATTGCTCAATTTTATAGATCAATTGGATAATTTTTTATGGTAATATGTAGATTGAATAAACAGATCTAATCATAGATGTATATAATTTCTTTAATTATCAAATTTTAAATTATTTAAAGATAAAATCATATATACCAAAGATGGTACTGAAATATTTTATTAATTCTTTTTTGTTGTTATAGGAGAGCTAAAGTCGTCGATATTTTGAAAGAACTCATTCAGAATATCGATTTATAGTATTTAAGACTGTAATGATGTTTGAATTCACCAAAAAAGAAAGCATAAAATATCTATTTAACTATTGGTTTTTTGCATAAGTTGTGTTTTTTTTTCTCGAAAGACAACCGCATTGATTGAGATTAACTTGTGGTTAGTAACTATATTTGTAGTAGATCTTCCTGTGTAAGAATTTCATTTATATTAATTAAGCCTCAACATAAATAATTGACTTACTCAGGTCGAACATTCCGACCGTCGGAAACGGCTATAAAACGGTCATCGTTTTCCTCCAGTTTTGCTTTCGTAATCTGGCATGACGGATTACGGCGTCGTTTTACATCTGTTTTATTGGACCTGGGTAAATAAGTTTGATAAAAAAAAAACTTTATTTTATTTTTTTTTCATTTGTTTTGTTCTCTTTCGAAGCAGTGAATTGAAACTAAGGTTCGTATGCTAGACTAGCAAAAAAAAACTATGACATTTTTGAGAAACATGATAGAAGATCTTAGATATTCAAATATGTTGATGACTTTACTTCATTTATTTTGTAAGTAGCTCTCAAAAAAGAATTAAATGATAGAATTTCAAAAGATAGTTCTTTATCACAAAAATGGAATTCACTTGAAAATTCGATGCAGGGATATTCTAATAGTCATAAATAGGTAAAATTTTGAATTACGAACTATTCGTAACTCGACGTTGAGGTTAATATGGACCACACCCTTTTTCTATTGTCATTAGCACCTGCCTGTGGATCCAATATTAACTCAAACGACAGATGTCACTTCCGACAGTTTCTCTCCGTTAATATTTCATAGATAGAGAATGTGTAGTAAAACTTCTTTGAAAACTAATCGATTCCGTCTTTGATATATGCTATTGAATTCTTTTTTTGTTATATTTATTCTACTTTAAACATAATAATATGTATGTCAAATATACTTGGAGAAGAAAACATAATGGAAAAGAATGAAATTTTAATGATAGACATACTCAGAGGGAGGTTCGATCTCTCTTGCAAAGACTCGAACACCAGGAGGTATGATACAGATTGATTAGTCTTCACAAGCCAAAAAAAGAATACCTTCTTTTCTTCATGATTCTCATCTTTTTCTTACGAGAGAAAAAAAACAAACTCTATCGTATGCACTTACTTTTACCATCATTATTAGTTTTTCTATTTTGAAACTTCTTAATAGAAGAATTCATAATAATCATTTGTCAAAAATATAACTCGAAGAGGAAAGACTGTTAAACAATGAAATTAGTTCTTTCTCAGAATTCACCGTGTTATTGTCTTAATATTCAATTCAGATAACAGGACGAATTCAATTGTTAGATCCAGTTTCGGCTGACTCAATACTCAATATTGTAGATCTTACACACTCCCAGGTCGGACGATACGGTTACTTTACGAACTGTATTACGGCCTGTACTCCAGTGACTTTTTCACCGTATACGGTACCGTATTACTGCGCAAAGTATATGGGGTAATACGAACTATTTACGGCCGTAAACTAGCCATTTTTTCATCGTTTACTATCCGAAAACAGGCCCGTAACGGGTATCCGTTTTGATCGACCCGGGCTGTCATACTATTCAATGTTCCTATCGAATATCTTTCTACCATTCTTAGCTCTCTTCATTTGAATTACATATTAAATACAAAATTCTTTCGTTCTTCTGTAGAATAACAAAATATTATTCTTGTCTTTTCTTTCAATGACATTGTTCGTTTTAAATATATAATATGAGGATTTCTATAACAAAAATTCACTTTGTATTATAGACTATTCGAGAGTGTTTTTTTTAATGTTTCACAAAACGATACTTTTCTTTTGGTCTTAAAAAAAAACGTTCATTTCGACTAATTTTAGTCAGAATAGTTAAATTAGTAAAAACAAAAAAAAATATTATAGAAAATTTTCTAGTATTGAAAAATGACTATTCACAGATAAATTGTAATTTTGATTTTCTTAATTTAATCCTAAAGACAAAAGCTTTTGAATGAAAAATAAAAATTGTTGAAGAACTGAAACAAATTTTTTTATATTGTTGCCTAAAAGATTCGTCAAATATCAATTGAGAAGAATATATTTTGACACTTACAAATATTATATATAACCTTGAAAATAATATCAAATGATTTCAAAATTTAAAATAGATTATTATATAATCGAAGAAATTTTTTTTTTGCATAAATGTTTCTCATATTATCTATATAAACAAATAATAACAAAGAACAAGAATAATATTTTGTCATATTTCTATAGGCTATTTGATAAAGAAATAAAAGAATGTTCATTTTAACATATAATTCATATAACACTGAAAGCGAAACAAAAAATGTTTTATATAAATACAATCGAATTTTTAAGTTAATCGTACACATTCTGTATGAGATCTAATAATTCTTATTTTGAATTTTATCGTTTAACGATCTTTCGTCTATGTTTCAACATTTATATTCTTTATTGTTTGATAAATGACTCCATATGATGATAAAATCTGTTTTTGAGTTGTTGTACAAAACATAAAAATGTTTTACCACAGATATATAAACGTTATCAGAGTTAAGTACGAAATAAGAATTTCAGATATTTATTATTATTATTATATAGACTTATCAAAATTCGGTTGACGATTGTAAAAAAACAAAAAATACAAGATGTTTTCAATAATATTTATTACTTTTTCTTTTTATCGTTATTTATGACTTCTATAAAAATTTATTTTTATTTTCTTAACTTTAATTTAATTTTACATATTATTTATGCTGATCATAATATTTTTAGATATTAATATCATAGATTTTTTTTTTGTGTTATTTGAATCAACCAAATGACGATGTAAAAATTAGTTAATCTTCGTTTACCATCTGAAATAAATCTTGTATTATACGTACGCAAATCTTCCATATAAAATTTCAATTGAAGAAATATACGATATATTTGGTAAATATGAAGCTATACGTCAAATTCGTGTTGGAAACATATCCCTGATACAGGAGATAAACAAAATTGGTTCTTTTTTTGTTTTTGAAAAATTCTAATTTTATTTTGTTTTTTAAGGTACTGCATTTGTTGTTTATGAAGATCTATTTAATGTAAAAAAATGCATGTAATAATCTATCTGGTTTTAATGTTTGTAATTGTTATTTAATTGTACTTTATTATCAAGTAATAAAAGTATTTGATAAAATTCATTAAAACACAAGCAAAATATGGATTGAATACATAACTCATCTTCTTTGTTTTTTTTTATATCTTTTGTTGTTATATATTTTACTATAAAGAATCACAATTGATCATTTTTCTCTTTGAAATTTTGTAAGTAAGAAATGATGCTCATATATTTTGTCAAATATTGATTTGAATCTTTCATTTAAGATGTAGAACATGAAAGAAAAAAAAAAAAGCGAACACGAAACATGTTTATGTATGTGGTTGATGATTTAAATGAGAGATTAAGTTGAATTATATAAGTATTGAGTAAACGAGAGATATTTTTTTTTTTTTTGTTCTTTTATACTTGAAAATTTTTCTTTTTTTTTTTTCGCTTTTCTCTTATAAAAAAAAAAAAAAAAAGAAGAAAAACGAAGTTGTCGCCTTCATCAATGAATGACAGTAAAGTAAAGCAAGCTTAATTGTAAATTGAAACCACATAGAGATCTTTCTTATTCTCTCTTTCTTTTACTATTCGCTTTTGTAACGTAAGTTGACAAATCTGTTTCGCTCTTATTTCGGGCTTCTTTTCTTCCTTCTATTTACCATTTCGAGATATGTTGACTTTGTGTATCAGCCAACTCGTTTGTTCGACGTTTATCCATCCTCATCACTCTGCTGCCGTGAGCTAAGCAGTCAACCATTCGTTACTGAATGACAGAACTTGAAATTTGGTCGATTTTTTTTTCTTTTTTTTGCTTTTTCATTGCCGTTGTCGTTATCGATAAAAGAATGTTGAAAGGAAGCAGAAAAGAAAAGAGTAGAGAAGCAGAAGTAAAAGTAACACGGCTTTTCTTTTTCCTGCCTAAAGCGATGTGAGCGCGAGTGTGCGTAAAAAAAAAGCTGATGAGGGACAAACCGCAAAATTGTACATATTATGAGAAGAGAGAGAAAGAAAAAACCGACATAAAGAAAGAGATGTAAGCGACCTTCGAAATTGGATCTGTTATGACAAGGTGAAGAAAATAAAGAAGAATAGATTTCATGTCCGAAAATAACAAATATCAATTTTCATTTTCATTTTTTTTGACAATACAATGTCGATTTACAACAATTATACAAGATATAATCTACGGTCAGTTTTGTTATTGTTGTTCTTTTTCTTTTTTTGCTTTCTGTTGTTATTACAACTTAGTCGTGTCAACAGTAAATGTACCTCATTATGAAAAAAAAAAAAAAAAGCTGTGTTTTTTTTTCTTCTTACATTCAGTCTCCAACAGTTTACGTTTGTTAAGTTTTCCTTTCTTTTTTTTTTATTTTATTTCATTCAACTATGTATCTTATAAAATTTTAGCTATTTCGAATATTCTTTTATTCATTAATCATAAAGAATCTTTCTCTCTCTTTTTTTTTGTTTTTTTTTACGAAGATTTCTATTATTTATTTCTTTCTTAAAGTGTAATAAACATTGTCAACGTTGAGTGTTGAGATAAGAGAAAAACAATAGAATATAGTAGTTGTATAAAAACCAAGTCCTGTCACATTGACAATAAGATTAGTTAAATGAAGGTTTTTTTCTTGTAATTCTATAAGAAATTAAAACGATCGTAGGTGTTTTAACGAGTATTGCATCAATTCAGGTAGCATAAATCATTTGCGGTTTTTTTTTCTCTAACCACACTCCTACGCAAATAAAAATTTTGACATGACATTCCAATCGAATTATTTATTTAAAAATGATTCGTCGCCGTAAAAAAATTGTATGATCTTCTATGAAATCAATACGCTTCTATTCGCCTACTTGAGATAATAGAATTAGTATGATATATATATATTTATATCAATAAATATAGTAGGTGTATTAGTATTATGTTTTTTTTTAATGCAATATTCTGATTCTCATAGTTAAATGACTAAATATAAATTTACTTTTTTTTTTCAAATCATTTTTGTATTTATTTCTGAAATAAAAACTATGAAGTTTTATTAGTAGTTATATCGGTAAGATAGATATTATTTAAAAAATTTTATGTATATAGTTTGATTTTAATATTGAATAAGTTTTAGATGAATTAAAAAAAAAATTGATTATTGATTCGAAAACTAAGAATAAAAGAAAAGTTTATTTTAATAAATCGAACTATTGGTGTTTTCTTTTCTTTATTTTCTTACATTCGAATCACCTTATAGATCTTCATAAGAAAAAACGATTTATTTGTATTTAATGATGGTTAATCAATTATCATATGATAGAGTAAAACAATATTTCTTTCTTTTTGCTAAGAAAAAAGAAAAAAAACGAAGTGTACTCGAATTTATTGGAATACAAACATGACTACGTCTAGAAAAAAAAAACTTATTTTTCTTTTCTAACAAAATAAAATTTTGATTTAAAAAGAACAAGAAAAACATATTTGGGATTTCTTCACTTTTGAAAAAAACATACCTATCCTATAGAAATCAAAAAGAAAAAAAGAATTACAAAAAAGAAAAACAGAAGAAACAACAATAAATGTATGACTGATTTTCTAGATATGAAATTCAATGGTGGAACATGTGAAAATATTTATGGTGAATTACTTGATTATGAAATAATACAACATGAAAATAATTTAATTACGGAATGTCGATTAGAACGACGTATTGTACATCTACAAAAATGGCTTGGTTCAACAATTATTTTAACTTATTTAGCTGCTCTTATTGGAGTTCATAAAAATGTAAAAAAAAAAAAAAAAAAAGAAATATTTTTCTTTCATTCATTTATTTACAAAACAAAAATGTTCTATTTTAGGATAGTCGTTTATTATTATTCTTATCGATTATTTTATTAATAGGTGTGATAATAAAAGCTTATTTAAAAGTAAAACGTGGTATGAAAATTTTTATTTTGTATTGATTAAAATATATAATGAATGTGTTTATATATATATATATTTTTTTCTTCTTCTCTTCGTTTTTTTTTTTTTTCAAAATAGAATGTGTTATTGTTGGAAATCAAATGGGTTTACAATTGACAACAACTTATGTTATCGGAAGACAAACAACAATTTTTATTAGTTCTAATCGAATAAAAGATATTTTAATCAATGAAGGTTTTCTTTCAGTATGTATTTAATTTAATTTTTTTATTAATTAATATGTTTTGTTTTTTTTTTATTTTTTCTTCTCTTTATATTAGCAACGTTTAATTTATTATTTAACTTTAATAATAAATATTAATGATGATATATCAATGTTACCACTTTTTGTTAAATTACTTCCACGTTTATCTTTATTAAAATTATTTTATAAACATCTATATCCTGTTATTCATAAATCAAAATAAAATGTGCTATCTTTCTGTTTGTTTGGTTGTTTTTTTTTAGATAATATTATAATGGAGTATCGGCACGAGGATCAACAGCGGCGTCAGCAACTGTTGACCATCGTTGACCGAGGCAGTGCAGAACAATTATTTGTAAGTTTTTTATTTTAATTTTTCATATAAGATTAATACAAAAAAAAATAAAAAAACGTATTCTTTTTATTTTATTTAAGATTTTCTTACAACAATATCATCGAAGACCATTTCGACATCTTGCAGAACTTATGGCATATGATGGTGTTATTGATGATCAAATCGATTTTATTGATTGTACAGCAACACGATATAATGTTACACCATTAATTATTGCTGCTGGTAAAGGTTCTTATGAAAAAACGAAAATTCTTCTTGTACATGGTGCTAATCCAAATAAACAATGTTCAACAGGGTTAGTTTAGAGAAAAAAAAAAATATTTCTCTATGATATTGAATTAATATTTTCAATGTATGTGTACAATAATAAATCTTGATCATAAGTATTGACTTGTCCTTCATTGATTTACATGTTCTTTCCCTTAGGAAACAACATATGCATTCATAATATTTTGTTTGTCACTTGAAGTTATTACAACGATTTTTTTTTTCTAACACTAAAGATAGTTTTTACAATTTTTTGTAATTAGCATGTTCGAAGTTAGTGAACTTAGGTCAGAGTGCGAATCCGACTTCATATAGTACTGAGGTTAGAAAAAAAATTTCGACTAGATTTGTCATGTTATGAAAATAATTTAAAAGAATTAATCAATGTCATTGTGGAAAAAAAGTTATCTTAGTAAATCTACTTTTTAACATATATTCTTAACAAAAAGATAATGTTTTAATTATTATAAAGCAGTTTTTAATCGAAATTCAACTAGAGATAGCTACGATAATGTTCTCGTGAATGACAGTTTAGATCAAGATAATGTTTGAATCATAGCTCCGATACATGTGAACTTATGAAGGGCAGATTAGTCTTTTTGATCACGTTTGATTATTGCACACATGTATTCATAATATCAGTTCAATATCATAAACAATAGTAGCTCTTTATGAAAATCAGCTACTGTGTTATTTAGGAATATATAATAAAATATTATTTCTCTTTTGTTTTTTTTCAAGTGATACAGCATTAAATTTGGCTGTTCATCGTCAAAAATATCATATTGTTGATTTACTTTTGAAATATCGTGCTAATCCAAATATATATAATCAATCAGGTAAAACAGCTTTACATCGTGCTGCTGTTTCATATATTGATGAAAATGCAAATCATGTACGAGCATTACTTCAGGTAACTAAATATGAAGTAATCTAGGAAATTATTATTTTTTTTTTCTTCTTTGTATAAGACAAGACTTATTACGTCAATGATAATTATATTCGTATGTTGAGTAGACTTTATTACTATTATAAATATCGAAGAGAGAAGCAATAGTTCTTTTTTTTTTTTTTGTAATGACTCAATTGAATATTTACTATTATTAGATGTAATCATAAAATATTTAATTTCGCAATTGAAAAAAAAAAAAGGTTCTCATCATCAGGAAATTCTTATTATGAAATCTTTCGTAAATATAGAATGAGTCTTATTCAATAGAATATTCGATATACAAAAAGAAATTAAAAAATTCGTATATTATCTGAATCAATAAAATTTGAAAAAGATTTTTCCTTAGATGATAGAAGACTTTATGTATATTTAACATTTTAAAGAACATTATATTTTTGAATAAAGAATTTTATTGTTTCTTCAAACTACTAATTGAGTTTAAACTGACAATTTGATATTGTAGAAAAAAAAAATACGTTGGTCTTATGATTTTGATCATTAAATGATCAATTACTTTCTAATTATAAGTTATTGGAATTTGGATTATCAATCCGACAAGTTCTATTATATATATATTGAAATAAATATTGTCATATTTTATTATTCACTCAATCGAAATAAAGAAAACTACAAGAATCAAGAAGCATAATTAATTTGAAAAGCATGTTTTAGTCTTCGTATCTTTGATTTCATTGAAAAAAGTTTTGCTAGAGTAACTCTTACATTTTAAAAATTTATTCATGTATTAAATAATATTGATCTACAGAAATATATTCTTTGAATAATAAATAAAGAAAATTTAAAGATCTATAGAAATTTTATCTATCAAATTATTTAATTTCTTGATAATGAAATAATTATTTATGTAATATTTTCTTATCTTTTTGTTAATATTATTAGAATAGTTTTTCTTAAATTATTCATTATTAAGGCTGGAGCTGATCCAACATTAGAAGATCGTAATCAACGAAGACCACTTGATGAAGCTGTGTTGGCTAATAAACCAGGTATAAAATGAAAATTTTTATTATATTAATTTATTGTTCTATTCAATAGAAATTGTTGGAATTTTGCTATCACATGATCGAACATTAGTAAAACAAGCCCATCGAGCAGCAATTATTGGCGCACGTCTTGGTAAGTTTTTATAATTTATTTTTTTTTTTGGGGGGGGGGGGGGAATTTACATATATATTTGAAGAAAATATTAAGTATATTCATGAAAAATATTTGTTATAATCATTTATTGCTTCAGTTATTTTTATTGTATAGGTTTTTTTTCTTTGTCATATCATAAAAGCAATAGGAACTCATGATACTTAAATAATGTGCTTTATGATTTCTTCTGGAACTACTGATATAATTAATTTTTTTCTACTACGACTAACTCTCAAATACAATCATACTTTAGTTAAGAAGATTTTCTTTTCTGTATGTTCATTTAAATATGTCTGAATCTATCATACCTGTCAAACTTGAAAGTTGAATTGAATTATTCTAAAATTAAAAAAAAAACAGTTTGTTCGTGTAACTAACTTTTCATGTCTTCGTTGTGATGTAGGGACGTTATGTGTTCTCCGAACAGCTATGACTCAGATTCATTTTAAGGTACACAGAAAAGTCAATCCATTTTTATTGTTTCCAGCTGAAACAATAAACTCGATCGACTCATCATATCCAATATGATGTGAAGAAAAAAAAAAACATTTAGATATTTTTGTATCCGTAATGTTGATTTTGAAAGACGCAATTTCGACTAAAACGTAACATCTTTCATTCTTGAAGTCTGTAGGACATTCTCGAACTTCGAGAAGCTATCAGGACAAGACAAATACAAATTGGAATAATATAAAGAATACCGATGTTGCGCGTTTTTTTTACATCTTATATCGAGACGTGTCGTACATCTTAATATTCAGACCAGTAACAGAAAACAAAGAACAGACGAAGACCTAGACTGATACTCAAGCAAAGTTTGAGTAACATAGACAGTTAATAATATAAACCTGGAAAATGTCTGAATGTAGTCCTATACGATATATGCTATTTCTCAATTGTAGACTTTCGTTAAGAAACTCTTTTTATAACCTTCAAACGCAATCAAGTTTTTGAAAAAAAAAAAGAACGAATTTCAGATGCGCACTCACCATATTCTCATGATCTTGGCATACTTTTTCTTATTTTGAAAATGGTGGTTAAAAGTGCAAAACAAGCAACTGAGTTGAGTCATGACTAATCTGTTTAGAAGAAAAAGACGAAAAGTTTGTCATAGTAACGAAATGAATGAATGAAAAAAAACAAGAAACCAGCTACCGCACTTTGTGCAGTCAACCACTTTTCAGTCAAAGGGTTTCGGGACACATAAAATTTTGTTTTTCACGACTCTATTTTCAAGTTTTGAAGTCTACTGTTTCTCTCTTCAGTCTCAAACAGGCTGTATTAACAAGGCTCTTTTTAAATATCTATTCTAATTTTTATCAGGTCACGATAAGTGTTTGGAAACATTACTTGATTTTGGCTTGAATCCAAATATAGCCGATCAAACAAATACAACACCACTTCATATTGCGTATGTTAAATAAAAACTGAATTAGATAATTTTATTGATATATTTCTTATATCAGAGTTCGTTCATTAAAATTATCTACTGCTCGTATTTTGCTTTCTTATGGTGCTGATCCAAATATGATAAATAATCGTGGTGAAACACCTATAGGTATAGCTGAATATTTACAACCTGATCAAAAACAATCATTTATTAATGTACTTCTTCGTAAGTAAATTTTTCAAGATTTTTTTTTTTCTCCATTTTTTTAGACAATGAGATTATTTAAAAGAAAAAAGAAAGAAATAATAATATATCCCTCATCCTAATTAATCTTATCTGTAGCATCTGATATAAATGAAGAGAGAAAGAGAGGAAAATTATCTACAATACCCATACCTTCATCGGTAACAATACTAAATCTAGATTCAACTATAGACACAACATCGACAATGACTGGAGGTGTGCAAATAAAAAAAGAAAACATAAATATATATATTTGTTTGAACTTCTGCTTCTATTGTTTTTGTATGATTATGATTGTTGGTTGGTTGTCACACCCTTGTATATATATATATATATTTCTATCACCATCTTTTCTTTCTTCTTCTTCGTCACAGAAAAAAGAAAATTGATTTTTTTGTTAATTTAAATATAGAAACAAATCCATAAGAGTTATTGTTTTTCTCTATTTAGATACACCAATAGTTGAACCATCAGATTTTCGTAGATATACAAGTGGAACAATTACAGGTATAATTCTTTTTTTGAAAAGAACAAAAAAAAAGAAAGAAAAAAATTTTTTTTTTTTCATTTGTGTGTTTGTGTGATTTAAATATCAAACTAACAAATCTGACTTTTAGCCTTTATAAACACATATTTTGATCAGTAAGTGTCCTACACTGATGCATCAGCATGTCATTTTGTTTTGCAGTATTTTGCACTGGTTATGTATGATTTTTTTTTTTCCATCATTATCACTGCTATTGCTACTCATATTGCATGTTTATAACTTATATTTTTTTTTTTGGTTATTTTATTATTGTTTTCGGGTTTAATTTTAGCTTTATTTTAATTAATAATTTGATGATTTAAATTTGTTCTTCTTTTTGAAGCAAATGTTATTCCATATGTTCATCCATTACTTCACGGTCATCTAAATTGGACATTGGATAGTGAAGAATTTCGAAGTCAAACTGATATAAATTCATCTGTACAAAATCTTCTTGATAGTAAGAAGAATATTCTTTTTAATCTTTAATCTTATCATTTATAATAATAGCTACAAGTGGATCATTTTGGTGTTGTACATTGAATAGAGGTGCTTGGGTTATTTTTGATTTAAAACATCAATATCATATTAGTGGAATGAGAATTATTGGATGGTAGGAAAAAGAAATGAACGATTATTTTGATGATGTTTTTAATTTTATTTTGCTAGTGATAATCAATCAACACCAAGAAGTGGTCATATTGATGTATCAAATGCTTTTAATGGTCCTTGGTTAAAAGTAAAAGATTTTACTTGTCCAATATCTCGTACGTAGTTTGATCTTTTTAACAAAAAAAAAAAAATACTATTTTATATTTTGTTTATAGAAGGCAATAAGAATGATATATTTTTTCCACCGTTTAAAACTCGTTTTATTCGTGTATTTATATCGGATAATTATGGTGGTGATGATATTCGTATACAAGGTATTGGATTTTATGGAGTTGATATGCGTCTAGTAGAAAAACTTCGAGAATATGGACTTGAAAAAAGTCTTCAAACATTATTAGCTAATGTAAGAATTAAATTATTAAAACAAAAAAAAGTATATATATATGAATTTTTTCTTCTCTAAAATAGGGTATTAATGATTTAGAAACATTGAATGAAAAACAAGATGAAATTTTAAACTCATCTGTAAGTATTATATAGAAAATTTCAAAATATTTCTATCAATAAATTTAACCATAACCTTGAAATATATATATTAGAATATTAATAAATCGAATGTCGATAGATGAAAAACATAACTGATTTTTCTATTTTTAAAAGTGACGAAAAAATAAAAACAGATGAAAATAGTATTTTGAAACAACATTACTTCTTAATAAAAAACACTTAACAAGTGCCTTTTATTTACAAAATCGATTTTCGATATTCAATTAATTGAAAAAAATTTCACTATTTCCATTCTAACTATTCAGGAGAATTTCAGAGATCAAGATATAAAAGAAAAAAAAAGCTTTCACCTATCAAATGTTTAGCATTCGGATTATTCTTATTTGAAAGAGAACTACTTACCATTTTAAATGAGAGAATGAATTTTTTTAATGTTTATTTTATTTTGGTTTTGAAGGTTCTCTAAACTTTAAAATTCTAAAAATATGAGACAAGACCTTTTTTTTTTAGAAATCTATATTTCCTTTAATCATTTGAAAGAGGATGAATTTATCTATTGAATCGGCAATCATTGTTTTTGTTCGATGATCTGAAAAACTTTCTAACATATATATGATTATATTACGTATCAATAAAAAGAATTTACATTTAATATTATCAAGTAGTTGAAGCTATAATGAAAATGATAGTTACAATAGTGCTCATAATTTAATTTGAATGAAGTTTTTATGATTATTAAAATTAGAAAAATTTTAAGTCATGCCTATATATTTATTTCAAAAAATATTTTTTTTTTAGAGGAACGAATCCACCTTGTTTTGTTTGAAAGAAAATTGACATAAATTAATACATGAAAGTCTTGATACAATATATTCGCTTCTTTTTCAATCATTGAAAGACAACTGAATAGAGCTAGAAGCAGTTAATGGGAATTAGACTTTTTTGCTATTTTCGACTATATGTTTAGAGTTTTTTTTTCTGAGTAAAGATTGAACAATTATATGTAAATTTTGTAAGAAAACAGAGCCCGAAACAATATCAGTACAATCTTTCGTTTATATCTTGTAACAATTGTAACTTAGTATTCTTATAGAATACTAAATATTGTACAAAACATCATAAGTGAATTTTTATTTATGCGTTTTCACACTAAGAAGTTACTTTCGTTGTTTGAAAAATAATCTTTCTTGTATGATTAAATAGTACATGTTGTAGAGCAAACTTTGCTCTATAAAAGTGAGTCTTGAAAAAACTATTTTACATTTTAAATTTGATAGGTTTCAATTGAAATATAAAATTGATCAAAAATAATATTCTTTACAGATAGTTATATTCAATAAAATTGTTCAAAATATTTTTCTTTTGAATTTTTCTTTTTCAAGGACAGATATTTGGATGTTAATGATCATTTTCAATTTATACGATTAACAGAATCATTAAGATGTACGTAATATAAAAAAAAAAAATAAATTTCTAAAATTTTAAATAATATATGTATCTTTTATTTTTAAAGCATCAAAATTAACTTTTCTTGAATGGTTCAATCCACCTCAATCAACTATTCTTGCTGGTGACAAATTACAAACATTTAGTGCTGCTGGTGATGAAGCAGTAACAGATCGTGTCAAATTAGAAGAAAAACGTAACATATTTTATAATTTCATTTATATAATTAGAAAAAAAAATGTTTTTTTTTTTTTTTTCTAAATTTTCAGTTGAAAATAGTCCACACGTAAGAACAGTACTTATGCGAGATCTTGAACCAATTCAAGGTCGTTCATTAGTTGATTTTCCTGATTATGTTATAAAAGATCGTAAGTATTTTCAGTGTTTTATCCAGAGAAGTGCCCGGGAGGGGGGCGCTCCCCCGAAAATCGAGTTCGTTCCTCCGATACTCGCGATCATCGCGCGACGAACTATATGGTTTACCCTCCCGGACTTTCAAATCGCCCCTCCGGACAAAAAAAAACCTGGATAAAACACTGAGTATTCTATAGAATTTTAATTAATTCGAACAATTTTTTTTTCTTTCTAGCTGGTCGATATAAAGTACGAGTTGTAAGTGTTGAATCACCTAATATACACACTTCATGGCAAGACATAGTTGTTGGTAAGTTTATTTGTTCTTTAAGATAGTCATTTTTTTCTCTGTTGTTGTTATCTGTAATTGCGTGGGTAAGTGCGTGCGTTTATCATTATATAGGTATGCTCTATTTAAATTTACCTTGGTAGAATTCTTTTTTTATTTATGTAAAGAGTAAGTTTATTATTGTAATGGATCATAAATGAAAAAAATTATACGCGTTTATTTTTGCTGCTGCTGCTGCTGTTGTTGTTGTTGTTGTTTTTGTTATTATTATTGATCGATTAATTATATTGATCATAGAGTAGGCTTTAAAGATCAATATCAATATCTGCTTATCTCAATTAAAATCCAATTTTTTTTTTCTTTCTTATTACTTCTATTCTTCAGGTATTTTTGTAAAAACAGCAGCAGCAGCAGAAGAATAAATCTAATCTTAATCGAATGTCTATGTCAATTATGCGTAAAAAAAATCGTACAAAATATACTGACGATGACGATGACAATGATAATAGTGGTTATTATAATCAAAATATTGATTACTCAATGAGTAATAATGTTAAATATTTAACACCAGAACAATATCATTGGAGACAACATAAAGAAGTACCTAATAGTTTGTCAAGATCATCTACTGATGATGAAATACAACTAGATAAGAATACTGAATATACTCTAACACCATCAAAATATCGTCTTAGACAAATCTATCCTGCTTTATGGAATTCTAATGAAAACCAATATAATCATCAAGATCAACAAGAATCATTTGAAGATATTGATCAAAATAACGTAGAAATATCGTATACAGAGTATCCTGTTATGATGGAAGATTTTATATTAACAAAAAAACCAATTGAAGATGATACTACTTATTATTATAAACCTAAACATACACAAGTATCATATGGATACAAAGATGCATTGAATAGTTCTGAAGTTCCAGAACGTGCAATGAAAAACATAAATGAATATGTTCCACAACCAAATCGTAATTTATCATCAAATTCTCTAGATGATGAAAAATTATATTCAAATAGACCATCAATATCAAATAATATTGATCATCGATATCAATCATTTGCTCATAGTAATGGATTCTCACCAACAATCATTCCATTTTCACGTATTGTTCGATCCACAACAGATGATAATTTGAATGATTTTATACCTACAAGTTTTCGTGGACAGAATGGTTCATATTCTGTATTTTATCGATCACCATTATCTTCTAGAGAATATCTTCATGAAAAAAATCCATCGAATAACGATAATTACGTTTCAACAGAACTAGATAGCAAATATTATTTCGGTAAAGGATCTGAATATAATCCGGCGAATCAACAAGAAGACTATTCTAACAAGGACTCAATTTGTGTATCATTTGGGCGTGAAGTGCAACCAAAACCAGTACACAAACAACCATTAGTAGAACAACCAGCACCCATAATAGAACAACCAGCGCTAACAATAACACAACCAACACCAACACTAAAGCAACCAACACCAACACTAAAGCAACC